AGCATACCGTTTCATAATAATCTCTAGGTATTCAAATGCCAGTTAGGATTAGTTTAGGCATATTGTTTAATTGTATTCAACTTATCGATTACCTTTGTCCACTAATGGCCCTTAAGATTTAACCTTGTACATAGTTTCAGTGCTAGGTGCAATTGTTAAAAACTGGTCAACCAGTACTACGGCGTTATTTCCCTCTGCTTTGTATAATATAGTAAGGTCCGTTTTTAGAATTAAAAAAAATTCAATTGCGTTCTTGTCTTCATGCGCAAACGTATGTCATGATTATCCATTTAGTTCATATATATTTTTAAATGTTTACGCGCGTTTCTTTTATTACAAGAAGCTTTTTGCAAACAAGCGATTCTTCCTACCGAAGAATATAGTTACTTAAAAATGGTCCTTCGAGCCGGATACAGTTATCTCGTTCAACAAGTGCGTTCCAACTTCGGCTACCGGAAACTTTCAAGACAAGTCTATTCAGTTTCCTCGAATTTCGACAACCAAATGCCGTATATTAAAGTAACGAATAGAAAATTAGTCTATGAAATAGTAAAAATCCAACCGGCATTCCGGTAGATAGACTGTAGATAATTATTTGCATCTGATTTTTCGTAACAATGGTATACGAATTCGAAATCCACGAAAAATAGTGCATTTAGGGGGTACTCAGGCGGCACTTGGCATGCCTAAGACACACATTAAATGTTTTATTCACGATGATATTGAAATAAGTCTCCTAATTGTCATTTTAAAGGACGAGGAAGTATTTTTCAACATTTATTCTTCCAGGAGGGAGAAAAGTAGATTCTAGAGGTTAGTAATATTTCATTACTCACCTTAATTTAGTTGCTAATATCCTAATGGATGGCGCTCGCATCGTAACTGTCGGACACAGAGGACATTTGATACAGAACCGCATCTTAAAAACCATTTTTATTCTTATACTATGAGTAATATGGATTATTGTTAAGTTTTGTGCTTTTTTTTGTAAATTGCAAATAAACGACTAAATGCGAAAGAGTGAAATAAATGCGAACCGACGCAACACAAGTCCACAGATTACGTAGAAGTTAAACCTGATGTAACTAACTTCTGCCAGTGTGCGAGATTTGTGTTTTGTCACGTTACGCACGTAACCTATAAGTAAATGTGCACTGTGCAGCATAACCTTTTCGAGAAAATGGTTGAGTAAGAACAAAAGCAAAAAGAGGCTGTTTGTTAAAGGATCGGTAGGTATACAAAACTCGAGCTGGAGTTAATGAAATTGATTTGTTTCTTTAGAGTTTAAAGTGACCATGACTGTTTAAGATTCCTGGGTGGAAAATTTAATATCCTGCCTGTATGTAGAAACATTGGGTGTCAACCCCTGAGAAGAGCAAGGGATGGCATATCACAATGCTGCTTATCGGAGGATGTTAAAACGTTTGTAATTTGGTTTGGAGGCGAAGACATTTTTAAATTCAACAACGAATTCTGTAAAAACTTACTCAAATATCTGCTCAGAGTAGGTACTCAACTTACTTGAAATTGGTCATGCGGCCCATAACCTGTTAGCGAGGTAAGCAATTTCGTACTCGTGAATTAGATAAGATCGAACAACTATTTTATCAAACGATAAAACTGACATTAATACACGCACACACTATGAATATTCCTTAAATCCATTTAAAGGAAATTCATAAATTATCAACTCCAGGAATGGTTTTCAGCTTTCACACTAACCGATGTAGGAATAACAGGAAAATACGAATGTAATACCGAAAACCCGAAAGTTCTGGAATGTTCCGTTGCCGAGATCTCGACAGACTTATGCAAGGGGCCCGAACAGCCGACAGTTAGTGAAACATTCTGAGAATCAGCAATGCGCTAAAAAGTCACATTGCGTATGACGTCAAGAACGGTTTCTAAGAAGTTTCCTGGGAATATTTTCTCCTAAGAATGGGTTTAAAAGGCTTTTCTCTGAAATCCAAAGAATATCTCATTTAGGATAAGGTATTTTTCAGGAAGATTTCTAGGCAAACCCCTAAGCAGATTTCTAATATTTAAGAAATAATTCCCATCAACTTAACTAAGAAGGTTCTAAGATTTTCACAATTTCCTAGGTAGTTAGACGGATTTTGCTTAGATTTTGGGGGTGTATATTAGGCGTACGGAAATGAAAAATAATAGACTAGATTTTTGATTTTTGAAGACGGCGTCGAACTTTTTTTTTTCAAATAACAACCCAAAATTTTTATTAAGTTACCTATTCCTAAGACCTTATTTTTTAGTGTACAACCCGCAAAAAATTGTGACATAAAAATGTCAAATTATTTTGTTTGTTTATACCTGAGTTTTTATCACCGTGACGTCGTAGAACTGTTTTTTCAAATAGCAACGCAAAATGTTGACTATTGGAAAGACTTTTTCTGCGTACAATCTATAAGAATTATGCTAGGTTTTATTACAAAAAAAACTGAGAAAAAATAGTCAATAGTTATTTTGAATTCGTTAAAATTTTGACAATGTACATTAGGCATGAAGGATGTAAGTAAAAAATTTCTCTTAATATACAGGGTGTTACATATAAGTATGTAACAAAAAATTATTGATTATCGCGAACTATTTCGAATTATTAATTTAATAAAGGGTGAACTTCCTTTTTATTCGAGTATAAATAACAGTAGAATTTGGAACAGAACGAAAATAAATATCGGGTTATGTACGAATGTTTTGAAGCAAGGATTTTGTTTCAGGGGACGTTTTCTGCACATACATAAGCGAGACGAATTGGCGTGCAGTCTAGGACATAGCGGTCATTTCTTTTGTGAATTTCGACCATAAGTTCCGTAATCTTATATTTGAATGTCAATTAATTTATACAGGGTGTTTGCGATGTTTAGTTTGGGGATCCCGTAAACCGCAAGGGAGTCGCTTAAATGGGCAATGAATTGCTGAATTTTATGTAGATTAAGTTTCCCCTTCAGAGTTTCTTATAGCTTTACAAACAACGAAGTTATGGTCAAAAAACCGATAAATGTCATTTTCGAAGATGCACTGGTAGTTTATTTATTTTCAAAACTATCAAAGAATAGTTTTAACAAACCACTGGTAATTTTTTCTCAGCTTTCGGATGATTTCTGCCTATCAGAAAGTTGAGAAAAAATCACTAAGGGTTTGTTAAAATTTGTTTGGTGCTATTGTGAATTGCTTTGATACTTCTAATTTTACGTACATTACTTTTTGTCGCTCCGAAGATTCATTCATGTTAGATTATTTACGTTTCAACCCTTCAGTTTAGTTTCGTTTTACGAAGGCATTTAGTCATTTTTTTGCGTTTTACACCGATACATCTATCTACAATTTTTATTTACGATACTTGTGTGATTACAAAGAAATTACTCGTGTTAGCTTGTTTACGTTTCACATCCTTCAGATTACTCTTGTTGTATAGAGATTTAGTTGTTTGTACTTTGTAAAATAGTTTTCTTGAGTTAACGCTGCGTATATACTTTTATATATCCCGGATTTGTACAGATAATTCGTTGTCAATCCAAATTTTTCTTTATCTAGTTTAAAGTCATATGAATTATCGTTTTGATGATTTTTTTTTGAGATTTGAGTATTCGCATTGTTAGATTTTGTGCGCACTTTATATGCCAAGCTGGTCAAACCCTTTCTTTTTTTGTTCGTGTGTTTTCTGATTACAGATTTTTGGCAAACAGCGCCCTTTCTGAGCTCGGAAATGGCTGTGGCTACGACTCAAAAGTAGTATTTTAATTTCGTTCAACTTGTTTTTAAATAATCTATAAGACTAAGTGGCGCCTATCCGGTTTACTTATTTATTTTTGCTTTGTTGACTAGTTGTAGAATATCGTCTTAAATTAAATTTGTTTGTGTTCCTCCGCCACAAAGAAAACGATAATTTCTAGGCATTTCTTAGCATTACCGCCGAGGAATGAACCTTACGACTTTAATGAGATGTTGGACACATTGGATAATGCTTAAAACCCACGAGATGGTGACTTTCTAAACGGAGCATAAAGCACGGAAAAATGAGCCCAAATTTGGTGTCAACAAAAATTCCCAAAATGGCATGAAGTTCTGGCAAGTAAATTGTCATGTTGAGCGAACGTAGTGAAATTTTCTAGTGCCCGATTCCTGCCACACTTTTACAAAGCGTGCTGGGACTGCATAGTCCTCATAGCCCTCAATGGGTAAAAAAAAGAAGTAGACAACATACCATTTTTTAGAAAGACTTCTCTTCTGTGATCCACTCCGAAAGTTCCTGTTGGGTTCACGATTATGAAATAGGGTTCAAGGTATTCTCAATCTCAATCAGATGGGGGTGGATCACTAAATATTATATTGAGTTTATTGATCTGCTAAACACATCTAAAAAGAAGAGGTTACAAAATTGGACCATGGGGAACGCCGCATCCCAAATTAATTACCATCGCTACTTAGCTCCGGTTTGGTGGTGAAGTGTAATTGAAGCAATAGCAAAGCTAAGGATGAGTACCTATTCTTGCCAATTATGTAGTGAATCGCATCATATGCTTTAGTAATGTAGAGAATACAACATTCGAACGATTCCTCAACTCAACTTAAAGAGATACCCTAAAATAGAGAAAAATTGTTTGTAGGTAGCTTTCAATCCTCTTTTATTTCTTTGTTAATTTCATTGAAAATCCAAGAGAAATTGCAGTATTTTAAATAGAGAATAGCGTTAAATTAATTAATATTTTACAAATGCGCACGAATAAACATTGCGAGTTTTATACACAGCGCCTTTTGTAATCCAAAAAATTTTTAGTGCCCAGCAGTCTACGATAGACGGTGTTTACAAAGTCCGCGTTTTCCTAATATCATCTTTGAGTATAAAAGCCTCACGGCAATGCAGATTGTTCAAATTTAAATTAATTTTCGGAACAAAAACCTCCGCGTAAAATAATAATGAGGAAATTTGCGAAACATCAAAACACGAATTTTACTAGAAAATTATAAAGCTGTTTTCTTACCTTGGATTCACTAAACACGTTCTCCTGAAATATCAGTAATATTCTATCCTGAGTGTACTTCATATTTCCGAGAGAGCTGAAACAAAAAGAGAGGTGATTGTTTTTTCAGTAATTTGAATAAGGCTGGTAAGCCAATCAACTACGAGTATTTTCTAGTAATCTAGAGATATTGAATGAATTTGAAACCTTAATGCCTGGCACATTTTTTCCATAGATTCCCCTTACAATATCAGTGTTGAAATTCGTTAAGAATTTTATACTAATGAAGGAAAAGTTTACGTAGCCTGAAAAAAGTTTTATGTTGGTCCATTATCGTATAGTGATTATCTATGGGTTAAAATGCACGATACCGGCTTTACATTTTATTAGTGTTCTTCGAGAACTTTTGAATTTCCATCTTCGAAACTATCGAAAATTTTATTTTTCACATCACCTCCAATAGTGTAGAAGAGGTCCTTCAGAATCGTTTACGCAGATTTGACTGTTTTTTTTTGTGTACGTCGTAACGGAGAGAATACTACCCCTAAATTTAAGTAATAATAGTTATATCTATATGGTTGTAGATTTCACCTCTGTAAATTCACTCCTGGCATATTGGCTCCCAAGAACATTCGTCTCCATAAGATCGCCTCCGCAATATTCACCCCAAAAAGTTCCTAAAGAAAATTCGCCCTTGTAAGATCCGCCCTCAGAAATTTGTCCTATGGCAAAATGGCCCTCGCCAGAATACTCTCTTGCCAGGAAGTAGCTTAAAGGAAAATTCACGCCCACGTTATTCGTTCCGCGACATCCCTCCAGCATCATTTGATCTCTACAAGACTACATTATTTTCACTTTTGGAAAATTCTGCCCTGGAAAATTCTGCTCCAGGTTAACTCGCTCCGGTAAATTCACTTATGAAAATTCATTCAAGAAGTTCATGGTAGGGTTTTATTCCCAAACATACTTGCCTCAATCTAATTCCATTCAAAAAGAAAATGGACTTTCGATATTAATGATCAAAACGAAATTAGCACTAGTGGCTCAATGTACCGTTAACTTTAATCAGTGTTTAGGACTAAACACCGCTTAAAACGCATAGAAACGATTGTTGAAACAATCTACAGCTGTCGCGAATTCGAAATTGAGTCTATAGAGTGCATATTATAAGAAACAGAAAATGCATTTTCAGCAACTTATACATTTAATCAGGATACATGCAGTAAATTTGCCCCGGGACAATCATACTGATAATTCGCGTTGGAAAATTTGACCGGTTAAATTCGCCTTCAACGGTCGCTCCAGAATGGTCGTCACCCAAAAGTTCGTACGCAAATATTCACTCCCAGTAAAATATGGTCATCGTAAATTCACCCTCATAAATTAATTCTTGAGAATGTGTTTTAAATTGCAGGATAGAGCCTTCCATGAAAAAAAACCTCAAAATGACCCTAAATCTGATTTGCTATTAATGTTACTTAACAGCAAGGCACCTGATCCTGATTGGATGCCTGAGGTTGTTCTCAAAACGGCGCCGGCGGCTGCGATAATACCAGGATTGTGGGAACGAGTTAGGGGCGATGTTCTTATAGTACGACACACCCCCCAACTTTGAGGTCTAGAATGGCCTCATTCATTCTGTTCAAATTTGTGAATATTCGTATTTTCGCCATATATCCGCTTAGAAAACAGATATCAAAATGCGGTTTTCACTGATATTCTCACTTTTACATCTTATTTGATAATATCATATAATAATTATATCGTTCCATTTAAAATTTCAAAAAAAAACTGCAAAGTTTATGTTAATGTCACATTGCGCCCTCTACCACTCATTACAGTTACTAAAAAGACTCTATTCATGTAAAATCTGATTCCTCGAAGCTCTTTCCAACAAAACCTAGCACGATGCTAGCATTTAGCATCGTGAACTCGCTTTCTATGCCATTAGTTCTCTAAGGAGCAAAATTTGTTGATCAGTTACTATGCCTTCGGCTGCTATGAAGTTGGGTGCAAGAATAGCAGGTATTAGACATTTCGCAAACGACAGATTTGTTTTAATTAAATAATGAATGTGATTGTTGAAACAATTATGTTTAGCACTCTTGAGCAACGGTTCTTGTACTCTCTCGCTCTAGATAGAACTTTTGAGTCGAATCGAGACGAGTAGGATTGATTAACGACCTTTGGAGTCATCTACGATTGGTAGTACCAAAGACACTAACCAATAGAAAATTTAGGTGTCGCCATTTTGATGATAATTCGCCATTTATGGGTGTCAAAAATTTACTCAGAGGGGATCATTCAGCTTCGAAAAATTTATCTCAGCAATCGAGAAGGGATAGCAAGATTTCAATAAAAAGGGAATTGTTTCCGAACGCTTCAAATCATATGGGCAGTTTGGGAAATGTAAAGTTATCGTGTAAAATTTTCCGTCGAGTTAACCGAAGATGAATTTTAGATTTCATTGTGATATAGATTAAACGCGTTGCTTGATTCGTTACTGTTTATATTGTTTACCCATGACCGAGTTTTGGTTCAAGAGTTTCTCAAAAGTCGATTATTCACGTTTGTTAAAATATCCATTAACCATTTTGCGATTCCACGTATGCTGTGCTAACAGATTGTTTATATTGCAAATTGCTGATTACCTCACGTTCATGTTATCTTATCGCTTTAAAATAACATTTGAGCAAATTATTCTAATTCCCTCACTATTGGCAGATTACAAATGAATGAGGTAAGTTCTTCGCGTGACATATCATCTACAATTTGTATTCCTTTAGAACTTGAAAATAGCGGTTATAGGAGCTGGGCCTGCAGGTCTCGTAGCACTCAAATATGCGTTACAAAATGGTTACCAATGCGAAGTGTTTGAACAAACAGACTCTTTGGGTATAAAAATAATTATTCTACAATTGCATCTAACTACTTTTAAGGTGGGAACTGGGTCTACAAGGACGAGGTGGACATTGATAAAAGTGGAATAAAGGTACATTCGTCATTGTACAAGGATCTAATGTAAGAGTACACCAGCGCGATTGAAATAAATCTTGTCTTCCCTTAGTATCAACGTTCCCAAGGAACTGATGACGTATCCCGACTTTAATTACCCTAGCGATTTAAGGGCGTCCTACATTGGTCACCGTGAGGTTCTCTCCTACCTTTGCGCGTATGCAGAAGAATTCAATTTAAAAAATCATATCCAGGTATGAATCTCTGGATGAATTTAACGCTGTAACGCTGGCTCATTCAGTACTGTCAATGTGTCGTTAACGTAGCACCTATTGAAGCAAAATGGATGGTCACCGTGCAAGATGTAAGACACGCAAATGAAAAATCCAAGGAATTTGACGCCGTGTTTGTTTGTAATGGCAGATTTAAAAGTCCAGTTCTACCAACCATTAATGGACAACAATTGTTTGAAGGCAACCAAATACACAGTGGCAGTTTTAGGGTACCCGACTCGTATGAGAATCAAAAGGTTTTAGTGGTAGGAGGTGGTCACTCGGCTACTGAAATAACCGAAATCATCTCTAAAGTCGCACAACATGTCTGTTACTATTAGTTTATCATAATCCTCATCATCTTTGCGTAGGTCTACATTAGCTATCGAAACCCCTTGGAGAAGAGCTTCGCATCGAATGTGACCCGAAAACCAGAAGTTGCACTGTTTACCACGAATGAAGCAATTTTTATTGATGGCACAAAGGAAGACATTCATCAAGTGATTTATTGCACGGGTACAACCTGCTAATACGTATACAATTTCTTACTATGTCTTAGGTTATACATACTCGGGATCATTTCTTAGTAGTGAATGTGGATTGGTGATCCAAAACAGAGGGGTTGCGCCACTCTTCAAACAAATCGTCAACATTAATTACCCCACAATGTTTTTTATTGGAATGCCTTACGAAGGGTCGGGAAATGTGCTTTTTGATCTGCAAGTAAATATAGACCGTTTTGCAATTAATACTAGCGTTCGTTGCTTTTAAGGTACGCTTTGCCATGAGTATCTTACGGAAAACGTTTGTATTGCCCACAAAGCAAGAAATGTTGGAGGAGTGGGAGGACTTTTTGCGCATGAAAGATGGACTAAATATATCTAGAGAGCACATACATCGGTTCGGTAACCCACAAAACGTCGAAAACTATTCGACAGAACTTGCGAAGACGGCTAATATAAAGTCAATACCTCCATTTTACTTTAAGTTATATAAAAAAGTTTGGAAGAGGAAAAGATCTGAGCGATCGTATAGGATTGTTGATGAGGAAACATTTGAGGAAATACAAATTTAACCGTTTGTCTTGTGACACACTCGTATCTTGACGAAAGTGGACCTCGTCCTTTGCTTAGCAGACTTTTCACTTAATACTGATTCCAAAGTTCTGGATTTTGATTTAAGTAAATAAATGAATATGATTGTTGCAATACGTTCAACCGATTTAAATACAACACGGTGGGGGGTGTGAATCTTCACTGTTCTTCGTTACTTACCTCACTCATTCCCAATTCCCTAAAGTGCAATTTCTCTCAGAGGCTCCATTTCATAAGAAAAAAGAACCGTTTCGTTACGTAAGAAATAAATAAAAATTACTGTGTTTAAACGACTGTCCTTTTTTGAGCTGAACTGAAAAAACCTTATCGGTACGTAAGGGTGGGGCTCACCTCCCGTAGAGTGAGGGTGAAACAGACCCTGCTGAAGTGCAGGCGATGCTGCGGGACTGACTCTGTAATTCATGCACGGCCTTGGATCGGTTTTTTTCTCTTTGTCCTATATCTGGATTATTAAATGATATAGTCTTTGTTTTAAATCGTTTCCCCCATGTTTGATCATTTCGTTTACGATATTGTCCATTCCTCCTGCCTTGTTTAACGTTATAGTGGCAATCCCTTCCTCTAACTCCTCCGTTGGCTGCCTTTGTTCCGACCTTTCGTTCTGTTTATTCTCTTTGCTCTCCACCTCTTCTGTGTCAGCGCTTTCCGTTTGCAACAAGCTTTTGAAGTGTTTTAACCATTCCTCGCCCTGTATCTTCCCCGTATTTCAATTTCTGGTTTATTTTTTAGACGAAGACGAAGTTGAGGTAACGCGTATGTGCTCGATTTTCCATCGTCTGTCTGTCTGTTCCTTCGAGATCTCGGCCCCTGAGCCACGTAGAGGTTTCGGGTTTTCGCTAATTGATAGCTACTATGGTCTATATTTACCCGTTACTCATCATTTACAGTTGTGTTACGCGGCAGCACCTACAAGTGGGCTTTGAAACATTTTTTAATATATATTTATAAATTTATATTTATTATATAATATATAATTTATAATTTAATTAATTATATATAATAATATAATATATTATATATTAATTTATTTTATTTTGCTCTTATGCCCCTCTAATGTTTCCATTGTCTCCCTAATCCATTTGTCCATTTTCCTTTTATTAGTTTTGTAGACTTTTTCCTCCTTTTAACAATATCTCCTTGTGTGGGAACTAAGGTCTGTTCCCCAGTACTTTGCACTTCGACTACTTTCACCTGAAATATTCAATGTAAGCTCTAGAAATTTTATACAGTGGGTGCTTATACGCGTCCAGGATAATATTGGTCTTTCACATTGCTTGCTCCTCTCTTTAATTTCCTCAATTTTCCATCTTTTCTTCTTTGCTGGTGGTTTTTCTCTATCAATTTTTCTTAGCTTCACCCTAGTTATTACTAGGGGATGCTACCTATCAGCACGTAATCGATCGGGTTTCCGGTGTTTCTCCCTGGGATTTTATGCTCCAGTTTATGGTTGAATTTAGCGCTGGTTATTATCATATTCATCTTCGATACCAAATTGTCCATCCTTGTGTCGTTCTCGTTCGTTTGATCGTGCATTGTTTTCTTCCCTGCAATTAGCCGCATGCATCTCCGAGGACTATAAACGTGTCGTGCTTCGGTATTAATTCGCAGGTTTCCATAAACTTCCACCATATCATTTTCCATGCTAATTTCTACTCCAATTGTTTCCAGGATCACTTGTATCTTGCTTTCCGTTTCCTCTGGCATTTTTTCGTTTTTGTCCTGCACTCCTTGGATTTCGATATTATTTCTTCTTATCTCTCTTTCTAACACATCGATTCTCCCTCTGTCTTTATTGTTTATTGTTTGCTCTATAATCAAAAATTGAATTGCGTTCAGTTTGAGTTAGCTGATAAAGGCTGAAATCATCCAAAATCCTGCCAAAATAACATCAGAAAAATTTTGAAAGCTTTATCATCTTTCCCAAACGAGTCATCTGGGTTTAAAACCAAGGAATCTTTAGCCAAATCGTTTCCACCTAAATTCCTAAAGAAATCGTTTCTTGGGAGCTCGTCTAATCGGTCTTAATAAAAAATGCAGAGGAATCAAACCAGTTGCCATTGGACTTACCCTTCGAACAGTAATTGCTAATTATATTCGTGTGAAAGAAGATACTGGAAAGTATCTCTTTCCCCTTCAAGTTGGAGTTGGAGTTTCAGGAGGAGTGGAAGCAGCTGTTCGCTCTCTAAGATCATTGATCGACAAAAATAAAACTTCGTCTAAAGTAATATTCAAGGCTGATTTTAAAAATGCTTTCAACTCAGTGCAAAGAGATAAAGTACTTACTAGAAGAGATGGGTAAAACATTTCCTGAAATCTACAAATTCCTATTTCAGTGATACTCGAGATCATCTTCCTTCTGCTTCGGAAAATGCACCCTCCAATCCGCTGAAGGTGTCCACCAATGAGACCCGTCGGGTCCTTTAACCTTCACCATTGCCATCCATCCTCTCCTTGCCGCTCTATCTGCAGAATTCATTGTGGCTTACTTAGATGACGTGACTATTAGTGGATCAAGATCAATTGTATAAACATTCAGAAAGCTGCTGATATTCTTGGATTGGAACTGAATCTCTCTAAATGTAAAATACACACTCTAGGCATAATTTCTAAAGGAAAAGTCGATTCCATTTTAGGAGATTTTGTTATCATTTCTTGGTACTGCTATAATTCCTGAAGGAATCCCAAAAATACTTTTAAATACGAAAAACAAGCTAAAACTGCTAGGAGAGAGACTGAAACTACACTGGTCTCCCATCCCGCATTTTTTCTATTAAAAACGCTCTCGGAATTCCGAAACTAATGTACACCCTAAGAACTTCCCCATGCCTGCTCCATTCCGAATCCCTTCAAGGATAATCCCCATCTCATTTTCAATGCCAGCTTATTGCTCATCCTACTTCGCTAACCTAGAATTGATAACAACAAACCATCATACAATTATATGAAGACAGCTTTAGTCATGATCCAATCTGTTGCCAGTGAATTTACCATAAAAGTTGAACATTAAAAAAAATCAAAAAGCTTGGGCACTCAACTGGCTCAAAAATCCTTTGATGTATTGGCGAAGAAGAATTTCTCACCCCTTAGTGGCTCTTCCCGTCTCATTGGCACATCTAAGGATTCAGGTCATTGGCTCCATGTAATACTATTTTTCTTTTCTGGGTAACAATAAGTTACCTAATATACAACTACAGATTTGTCGCATCTATTTGTAAGGATATTGACGAATTAGGTCATCACGTTCTAAGATGTCCCCTTCAAGAAGGACATATCCCTTGTCATATCACACTCAATGAAGTAATAAAAAGAGCCTTCATTTCTGCTACTTTGGAACCCCACTGCATCTTTAGAGATGGTAGCAAACGACCAGATGGATTGACAATAATCCCATGATTACACGGAAAGCAACTTGTTTGGGATATTACAATGCAATCTCCCTCAAACTTCTAAAACTGCCGGAAGAGCTGCTAACAAAGCAGAAAAAGCCAAATTACAGAAATATTCAAAACTGCCCGGTAATTACTAATTGATTCCTATAGGATACAAAACAATTGAAGGTTGGGGAAATCAATGCAAAAACCGAGCAAAAACCTCATCAAATTACTAGGAAAAAAATTTTAAAAAAGTGGAGAATCAAAAACCATGGAATATCTAAAACAAAGTATGAGTATAGTCATCTAGAAAGGAAATGTAGATTCGATTATCCAGATGTTTCCAAGATCAAATTCACTTAATGAATGAACGTTAACATCGATATTGGAAGTGATAAATAACGAAATACGCGTTCGTGTTTCTCTGCCATTGAATTTTTAACACAAATTGAAGTGATATGGGGTATTATACCAGGTACAATGGTAGAAAGAAGCGTTAGAAACAGTAACCCATGAATGTGATCGGTATAAACGAAAAAAAAACTTAGCCGAAGATGGTAGCAGGAGTAATTTTAGTGATTGTGATTCTTCGTAAACTATTACAAAGAAATTTGCTGTCGCTGGTACAGATACTCGCACATCTGCGCATGCTCCATTCTGCCGTTTTATGTCTAAGAATATGTGTATCAATTTTGGTTCCAATGAGAGTACAGATGGACCGACAGACCGATACAGACAGACCGACAAACAGACCGACAGGAAGACTGACAGACCGACATCATCGACATGTTGTTTGAATCGAATTCCTGGTGCTTCAAAACGCGTATTTCCGTCAAAAAAGTGGGAGGTCATTTGTTACCCCAATGCAATACCTCCCTTACTAATGTGTGGGTGATAAAAATTGTGTACACGTAGTAAAATGCACTTTTAATAAGTAAAACATGGAAAATTATTACCATAAAATTCCCGTGCCATAACGTTTAAGTTTTTTTTTTCTACATAACACTTCAAAATAGTGTTGTCCTTGCTTTGGCATGGGTGTGCAGAAATAATTTCCGGTACAGTAATGACATTCAACGAAATGTATATTGAACAAACTACACCATAAAAATTGTTCACTTAATTTTTACCACCCGCACGTTAGTAAGGGAAGTATTTCATTATGGTAAAAAATGACCCCCCCACTTGTTTGATGGAAATACACGTTTTGTGCCGGTCGGTCTATCTGCCGGTCCGTCGGTATTACCATTTCCGGCTAAACGAATGAACCGATTGGAACCAAATGTGGTACACATATTCTTAGGCATAAAAAAGGGTTTTTGGTCTTTGGACAAATCATAGTAGACATTTGTAAGTAACACATTATTCAGAGACTTTTAATGGAAATTTCGAATATGGCATCCAGTTTTTAATTACTTTTAAGATAACGGAGAAACACGTGGCAACTATAGTTTTTCTTATGGGCGCCATTTTGAGTTTTGACATTTTGTAATTACGTCTTTTTTTCTCTTTACAACGATATATCACACAAAGTAAAATTTTTTAATTTTTTGGGAAGAGTGCTTTGGAAAAACAAAACATTATTTTATTGTGAAGAAAAGTTTGACAGGGAACTAGTGTTCAGTGTGTTCAGAAAATTTGATTTTCATCTGAACAGAATTGAACCTTCGTTTTGCAAGAAAATAATTCAAATTAGAAGAAAATACATGAGAATAATTAATAATAGTTTCGCAATAAAACTAGCACAATC